ATCTATCTATCTATCTATCTATCTATCTATCTATCTATCTATCTATCTATCATCTATTATCTATCTATCTATCTATCTATCTATCTATCTATCTATCTATCTATCTATCTATCTATCATCTATCATCTATCTATCATCTATCTGTCTATCTATCTATCTATCTATCTATCTATCTATCTATCTATCTATCTATCAGCTATCTATCATCTATTTCTCTCTCTCTCCCCCTGCCTATCTTCTGGTGATCACTAGGTGATTTAGGCTGACATGTGTCCTTCTATTCTCAGCCAAATTCACAGCTGTCTAGATTCCATGGAGAACTCATCCAATTTGCAGACCACACCAAGTTGTCAGGAGTAGCCAACACTCCAGAAGATAGACTTAAGATACAGAAGGATCTTGACAGACTTGAACGTTGGGCCCTACCTAACAAAATGAAATTCAGTGGTGAAAAAAGTCAGGTTCTACATTTAGGCAAGAAAAACCAAATGCCCAGGTACGGTACAGGTGGTACCTTGCTCAATAGGAGTACCTGTGAGAGGGATCTCGGAGTCCTAGTGGACAACCATTTAAATATGAGCCAGCCGTGTGCTGCAGCAGCCAAAAAAGCCAACACAGTTCTAGGTTGCATTAACAGAGAGATAGAATCAAGATCACGTGAAGTGTGAATACCACTCTATAAAGCCTTAGTAAGGCCACACCTAGAGTACTGCATCCTGTTTTGGTCACCATGATATAAAAAAGATGTTAAGACTCTAGAAAAAGTGCAGAGAAGAGCAACAAAGATAATTAGGGGAATGGAGGCTAAAACATATAAAGAATGGTTGCAGGGTAGGTTTATTTTAACGAAAAGAAATGTTATGAATGCTCCCACACTGGAAGTTTTAAAGAAAAGATTGCACAGCTATTTGTCTGAATGGTATATAGGGTTTCCTGCCTGAGCAGGGGTTGGACTAGAAGACCTCCAAGGTCCCTTCCAACTCTGTTATTCTATTATTCTGCTAGATTGGGCTTTTAAAGAAAATGGCTTACATAAAGGTAAACTGATAGATAAGATAAATCTTGTTCTTCCAATATTTTCCAGCAGTAGAAAGCAGAAGCCAAGTAGAAATCGCAGATAGTGTCAATATTGGCTTTGCATCCTCTGTTAGTTCTTTCTTTTTTTAAAAAAAAATTCTGTAAGGTTTCTAAAAGTGAATGTGTTCTTCTTTCATACTGATGGGGCAGGAGATTTTAAAATCACAGATCAGACAGGAAAAGCATCTTGTCTTGAGTAAGATTATACCTGTCTGGTAAAGAAAGGGTTAAGATTTTCAGACAATTTGCCAGCATTATTATTATTATTATTTTTGAAAATTTTATTTGGGTTTTCACAAAATACAAAGAAAACATCTTTTTTTAAAAATAGAATGGTCCCGGGTTACACTTCTTCATACAGACACAAACTCAACTTCATGCTCACTTTTATGTTCTATTCTATATCTTATTACTGTTTTACATTTTCTACATCGTTTTTCTCCTCTCTTAATTTTCTCAGTTTTATTTTAATTATTTCATATAAATTCAAATCCTTATATTTTTGTCTGTCCTTGTTTCAATTTCATATTTTCTTTTCTCATTAAACAAATTTTTCCCTGTAGTTACTAATTGGAGTAATTCAATATAATACATAACTTCCAATTGAATTCTGCTTGGTGCATTCTTAAAATACACACTATATTCTTAAAAAGGAGTTATAAATATATGTAATTAAAACACTCATTCCATTCCAATTCAGTTCTGTCATTAATATTCATTAAAGTCTGAACATCTTTAACATTACTTTTCAATTAAATATCATACTTCCTTGGGAACACTTATAAGCTTTCCATAATTAATTCCCCCCCCCCCCATTTCTCTTCCCTTATATTTTATAAAGCTTTAAATAATTAAAATGTTCCCATCCTTTCCTAATCCAATTCTCTCATTCATTTTATTTCATTTATTTATTAACAAACATTTCACTAGATTACAATAACTATTTTATCCATCATTTTAATCATACATTGTTTCATATTTTCTAATTTTTTCTATTTCTAATATAAAAATACTATCTTATATACCTTTGCAGAATCCCTTTTTCAATTAAATTTTCACCCATTTTCTCTAAATAGGCCCTGTTTCTCCATATCTTATTTCTGTCCTTTATAACTTCTTTTCCTTTCCTTCTTCCCTCTCTTCTTCTCCCTTCCCTTTTTACCCCCCTTGTCTCTCCACTTCTAATTCTCTCTCTTCTGTATTCCCCTCTTCTGTTGCTTTCTAATATACTTATTTTTCAAGCTATTCTTCCTTTTCTTGGTCATTTTTTCAAATCTTAAACTTTTCGTTCTCTTTTCCCCCTTTCCTTTTTTCCCCCCACATAAAATTACTTGTTCATTAAAGATGGCTTCTTCTTTATCCCAGTCTTCTTCTGCAGGCATTTCTTGTTGTTTCTCATAGTTCCAGATCTCCATTTCTAAGAATTGAAATACGAAGCCAAAAGAACCTCTCCCTTCCTATCCATCTTCTTTATACTTTTAAACTTCCATTTTCAGTTCATCTAGAAGTAGTGCCATTTTAAACACTTTTAAACAACCACCCGATTGATTTTAGTCATTCAAATGCAATAACCAAAAATCCAGAGATCACCAAATAATCCAAATACTCCCAAGCTGTTTCTTCATGCTTCTTTTTCCCACTTTCTCTTCCTGGGGTTCTACTATTTTGTTGCCAAGTTTCAGTTAAAATGTATCTTTTAGAAGTCTTGTTGAGGTTTTACTGTAAATTCCTTTTAATTCCAGGCAGTCACCTCTCTTTTTTCCAGATCCTGCCTTTTTTCCAGATTCTTTTTCTCTCCTTTCCTGCTTTAAAAGGTTTTAAATATCCAGAAATCTTTATTATCCCTTTGACATTTTATTTTCAGCTTAACTGCCTATTGATATCAAAGTGGATTTTTTTCTCCAATTTCTTATTTAAATCTCTTAGCTGTCAGTATAGGGAAAGGGAGAGAAGAAAAAACCCAAATCCTTTCCCTTTTCTCTCTCCTTCGCTGCTTCAAAGTCTGCTTTGGGAACAATATTACTTTTTTTTAGTTTAAATTCCAGGATACCTTAGTTGTTGCTTTTGCAGTTTAACCCGGTCAACCAAAACTTTCTCCTCTTATCTTCCTCCTGCATATTCTTTTCCGGTTGAGTTCTTCTTTGAGGTGGCCATTTCTGACCACTGCTGCAACCGCCTTCAGGAAAGGGAGTAATGGCCAGCTGAGGAGGAGAGATGTGTCTCTCCTCAACCCTGCTGGCAGTCTCCCCCCTCTTCACCACCTTTATGGGGTGGCTTAGCCCCGAAACCAGGCTCCGGGCGCTCCAGCGGTGAGCACGGATTGAAACTGCGCACGATCACGGTTTTGGTCTGTCCGTGAAGAGACTCAAACCGGAAGTCATTTGCCAGCATTATTTGCATTAGCAGTTGGTCTTGGAGTTAGAAGTGAGACAAAGGTTTGCAAATTTTTGTCTGTCGCCTGTTTAAGCTGTCCAACCCGCTAGTTTCAGCATACTCAGTTAACTGGAGATAGAGAAGAAGAAAAAAAAAACACATTTCTTGTATTAATTTTGTTTCCAAAATAGGGAAGCCAAAGGGAAGCTTTAATCTTTGACACTTTAAAAATGGATTTCTGCAAAGCCAGCAGGCAATATTTTTGATCGCATGGAGCTCTTGTCTGGCAAACAAACTCTCCTTTGATGTGTAGCTATTGGTCCATGATAGGTCCTTAAAAGTGCCAAATGTTTTTTTCCAAAAACGTCAACTCAAAAGTTGGTACCCCAAATGTGCTGTTTAAATCTGAATCCTTCTGCTCTTCTCCTTTTGCGTGAATGTCTCACGAAATCCGGGAATTCTCTTGGCCCCGCTGGAAAAAGTTCTACCCAACTTTGTCAGGGAGGCAAAATGGATGGAGTTGAGAACTGAGGCGGGGTGGCCAAAGGGAAAAGTAAGTTTAATTATGTGGGATTCTGTGCGAGAAAACCAGCGCTTGGTTTCGCTTCTCCTGTGCCAATGTAGTGTATTCAATAAAGTTTTACTTTTGGGAAGCACAATGTTCCAGTAGTTCTCTTTTAGGATTTTCTAGCTGGACAGCTGACACAAAGGTCCCACTTACTCTCTTCGATTGGAACATTGCCCTAAATATTAAAATACAAAATAATATTCAAGCTAGCATTAATATGGCTTAACAAAAAAAAGTCAATTTCTGGAGAGACCGGTTGACATCGCTGCAAGAACGGCTGGGAAATAGCAGGCTCTGCTGAGTCCCGCGAAATCCAGCCAGCAACCGCTGTCAGAAGACCCTTCAGGGTCATAGCTGCCTTGGAGGGGCGGCGAAGGAAGGAGAGACGCTTCGTTAACCACAAGGAAACCCACAATTTCCTTGTTAGGTCAGAAGCAAGCTCTCCCCGAACGACAGCAGAGACGGCAGTTTATGGGCTGTCAGGAAGCAGAGACAATTGGAACCATAAGAATTGTGCTGGTGTGGTGAACGGACAGAGACTTTAAACTGGGTGAGAAATTTACAAACTTTTACCCTAAAGATTGGAAGTAACAAAATGTTAAAAGATAACTCCTAAGCTTAAATGAGTGGCAGACAGATGAATGGAGGAAAATAACATTAAGATAAAGAGGCAAAAGAAGCTATTATAAGCCAATAAAACACAAAAGTCTGGGAAAAAACCTAAACAATTTGAAAAATGATTTTGGGGAAATTTTATTTGGACTATTTGTATTTTTAAACCCTTTGGATTTGATAGGGAATTCAGCTGTTTTTGACAGACTAGTTAACATTGATTTGGGCTAAGAGAGTCATCTGCTGGAGGAAGAGAAATACTACAGCACTTAGCCACAGTGTCAGATCCGTGTATCTGTCATTTCTTCAGTGGAAGAAGAAAAGGGGAAATCAAGGGAATAATAAAGTTTTGATTAGAGGATGTTGTTGAATCAGTATAAGTGTGCACGTGCATGCTTAACACAATGGAATGCCCAAGGGAAGTGTCAAAGAGGTTATTGACAGTTAATATGAGAATTAGTAACCTTTTATCAAGGAAGATCATATAATAGTAATGTGCTCCTTTAGTGTCCTGGTTTCTCCTTTCCTCACAGAAGTGAAGTCCCATTGTTCTAATAAGTTGTATACGTGTGAAAATTAAAATGCATGTGTGTAGGTTTATCTTGATGGATATATGGGGAAAAAAGACTTAAATCCCTGTTTTTATTTCCAGCATGGTACAAAAATAAAATGGTGGTGAAGTTGCAGTATTTGTTTCAAGACAGTATTTGCTTCATACCTGGAGTAGGCTGGCACCCATCCTGTTTTGTATGTTTTACATGCAATGAAATTTTTGTTGACCTAATCTATTTCTTGCAAGATAGAACAATTCATTGTGGTAGACACCATGCTGAACTGCTCAAGCCACGATGTTCAGTGCGTGATGAGGTAAAACTCAGAATCTGACGAAACTTAAGATAGAATTGAAATGAACATACCATTTATTACACAGGCACTTCTGAGTGATCTGCAAATTTTTCTTCTGCAGCCTTCAGAAATATTGGAATCTTAACTGCAGAAATGTGGGAATAGTGGGAGATTTGACTGAATTTGTAAATTTTATAAAACTTGGAACATTTGTTCGGTCTTATTTACAGAATTTTCTTGAAGACTCAAGCTTTTAACAAGTCAAAGACTAATGAAATGGATGCAAAATTACAATACACAATAGGAATGCAATAATGGGAATTGTAATAAAAGAAGATAATTAAATTTACTCCACATGGGTAAGAGGAAGGGCATCCAGCCAGTAAATGCTCAGCACCATTCAGTCACCCATATTCTACCCTGAATAGGGACCAGTTATAAAAAGGGAGTTGTTTTTTTTTAAGACCATATTTATGCATTGGCCATTACCTTTACCATTCTGTATCATATGTACAGAATAACCCTTGAGTAACAACAATATGCACATGGAAATGTTTATGAGAATAGTTACGAATAATTATCCAGCCACACACAGATACACTAAATTGAGTTAAAGTTTACTTTAAGAAATAGCACAGTCCAATAAATGGTCCAGGTCATATATGTTTTACAGTTCAAAGAATATCCAATTACAAAGTCTTCTAACCGGTTGCCTTTGTCATTTACAGTAAACAAAAATATCAATGTATAAGCACAGCATAAATACAACAGAGAACTGTAGATAGCAACAGAATGTCAGAGAGACAGAATGTCAGAGAGAAAGCTATGATTTCTAGCTCCCTCTTATGGTAGTTTGCAATGTAATCAACCAATCGGAATATAATATAAATCAATACAGTGATTTTGTCTTAAAGCTACAAACATACATTTTTTTTAAAGGAAATAGAAGGCAAAGAAATAGAAGTGGTACACTAGTGATCAAGTACATCGTTAGTATATTCTGCTTATATTAATTTTCATTAAGTTATTTTCAACAAGGGAAATGATTTTAAAGATCCTTTGGAATCTCTGAACTTAATATCTTATTTACACAGATAATCCTTAAATTATGACTGTCATGGAGCTTGTTGTAAATAATAACAGTTGTAAAATGGGCCGTTACATGACCAATCTGGTTTTGCAAATTTTTTGAAGTAGTTATGTGAATACAGTGACCACAAATGTCATGGTCATTAAGCAAATGCTGTGGTCATTAAGTAAACCCCATTATACTGTATGGCCCATTACGGCCAAAATCCAGAATTAAATGCCGCATTTGGCAAAACCATTGTAAAACGCAGTTACACGACCAAAAGATGTTGCATACAGCTATAAATATGGCCATATCGTGAGTGCCTGAAATGCAGTAACGTGACCGTGGGGGAATTCTGACTGTTGAAACTTTGGAGTCAGGTTGTAAGTCCCCCTTTTCAGATAGATTGTAGCTTTGAATGGTCACTAAGCAATTGGTCATAAGTTGAGGACTACCAGTAAACTTATCTCCACTGTTTTATCTCCGCTGTTTTATTCTTTTAAGGCTAAGTCATCATCCCCCTCAAAAAGAGAGAAATAAGAGAAACTCCTAAGACCTAAAGTGTTTTCTTCCCACCTACCCTAGATCATTTTTGCTGATCAAAGTACAGAAGCAGGTGGCCGTCATTGGCACATGAAACACTTCCGTTGCCTTCAGGGTGAAACCATCCTTGGAGGACAGAGGTATATTATGAAGGACGGACACCCATTCTGCTGCTTGGAGTCTCTTTATGCAGAATATTGTGAGACTTGTTTTTTTTACACCAGTATAATGTAAATAGCCTCAATCTGAAGTCCGAGTAAATAACATATTAATGTGTGTTGAGTATTTTATCTAATGGGAAAAGTGTTATAAGAATCTTAGCAAACAAATTTATGCACAAATCTTGTCTTAAACAGGGGTTGATCACGCTCAAATGACTTACGATGGACAACACTGGCATGCTACAGGAACTTGCTTTTCTTGTACTCATTGCAAAGTTCTACTACTTGGTGGCCCTTTTCTCACCAAGCAAGGACAAATTTTTTGTTCTAAATTGTGCAGTCTGGGAGAGGATGTTCATACTTCAGAAGGAACATTCGTATGGGAAAAAGCAGCCGATCAGCAGATCGGTGCAGGCTATCTCTCCTGTTGCCTCCAGCAATGAATGACAAATTCCTTGGTCTTTCAAGCAGAAGGGATGATACTCTTTCATGGAAACTGGATGACTCAAGTCTTTCAAGGCAAGAAATAAACTCTGTTGACAAAGAACTGTGGAAAATAAGGGGAGATGAAATGTCTGATGATCAAGAAGAATGCGCTGAGCATGAAGATTATATGACTCAGCTGCTCCTCAAATTTGCTGATAAAAATCTATTTCGGCAGCCAATTTTAGATCAGATCAGTGGATTTGTGAAAATGTGGCTTAAAGGGAGATCAGAATTAAAGAAAAATAATCAAAGCTTAGCAAATAAGAAATACCAGGCAAATATGTATTCGGCATAATCCCAAGATGGCCTGGGTGATTCTGCATATGGTAGCCACCCAGGACCTGCTAGAAGGAAAATCCAAGAATTAGACATGGAACATGGCACAAGATACAAACATGACCAAAAGCGAAGATACAGATACAGATAATCAGAGTTGGAAGGGACCTTGTAGGTCATCTAGTCCAACCCCCCACCCAAGCAGGAGACCCTACAACATTTCTGACAAAGGGCAGTCCAATCTCTTCTTGGAAGTCTCGACTGATGGCGGTCCCACAACTTCTGAAGGCAACTTCTGTTCCATGGGTTGATTGTTCTCACTGTCAGAAAGTTTCTCCTTGTTTCCAGGTTGAATCTCTCCTTGTTCAGTTTCCAACCATTATTCCTTGTCTGGCCTACAGGAGCTTTAGAAAATAGCTTGACCCCTTCCTCCTCCCTGTGGCAGCCCCTCAAATATTGGAAGACCGCTATCAAAGATATGATTCATTGAATTGTTTGTCAAACCTGGAACGGGAGCAGTGTGTTTGAGACTCAGTGGATTTCCTTGCTTTATCTAACATTACAGGTAAATCCGCTAAAAATTATGATTTATGGTTCATTCACTAAGCATTTGTGATACATGTACAATTAATTTTCATACCATAAAGTTTGATTCTTACCCGTGTTCTGCAAGGGTTTACATATTAACTTTTACTTGCTTTTATGCACGTTATGCAAAGAAAGCCTGTCCAGGGCCTCAAGTATTTTAAAATGGATTTTAAGTGTTTATGAATTTATCTTTTGCTTATTTATTACCTTGTACAAGTTCTTAACTTAAGATCATCGATGACCTTCAAAGTTACAATGCCAATTAAAAAAAAGTAACTTTCACCCGGTCCCTGCATTTAACAATCACTGCAGTGTCCTGGTGTTCATGTGATTAAATTTTGAGCATTCAAATTTTGAGCATATTATTTACTATGGTTGCAGCATCCTGGGGTCATGTGACTATTTGCAACCTTCTCGGGGGCTTATGACAAAATCAATGGAGGAAATTGGATTATTTGCATCTCTTAATGATGTGGTTGTCCCAACTGTGATTGTCAATTAAGAACTACCTGAGGAAGAGTCAATTGAGATGGGCAGTAAAGAAATTTGATAATTACATAATAAAACCATGTTCTCCAGCAGGGGTCAGAGTAAGATCGCATTGGAATAGAAGCTTCCCACTTGAACTCCTTGTGTATGATTTTATCGATGAACATTTTTAGCTAGACACTTTATGGGTATAAATTGCTTTGAACTGGAAGTCAGTCAGAATCCAAGGGTAACGTTTTGTGCGGTTATCTGGAATATTTTTTTTAGCCTATAATGTCAAGAAAGTGGATAGTGTCCTTTGTTATATCAGTCCTGCTACTTGGAGGGTCTTGCTCCTCATTGTTGGTTCAGTTTGTCAGGAGGGGATAAGCAACTGATAGTCAACACCTGACTGTGGAAGGAAAATCATGCCTAGGTCGAAACAGGTGCAGTTTCCTTAAGAGACTGCTTTGAAACTAGCAATTTCAGATATCACTAATAATCAAGATATTTCAAAATTGTATTGTCACTTCTGTTTAACATCTATAGCCACTGGAAAAGGCAACTCATTTTATTTGAAATATGCATGTGGTTGATCATATCACCAAGTTAGTTGACTGAAATAATTCAGAAATCTGATACATTTACACTGTTGTTTTGTTCAGCAACTGTGCTCGATGAAGGAAAATTTGGATAGAAGAGTAATTCACACATTCCACATTCAGAATCCAAATGTGGCTTTTTAATATAAACTGAAATTACATTTTTAGAATTTAACTGGATGAAATAAATTTTCCAATCAAAGTTACTTTTTTCTTTTCATTTTTTAGGTGCTTCAATGGATGAAATCAAACCAAGATCGTCTCTGTACTCCTTTGAAACCTATCAGGATCTAGAGGCGTAGAATTGTGGGAAAATGAGCAACGTGGGAACTTTGGATTCATCAATGCTTCATAGAAGCACTGAGTCTTTGAAGAGTGTAAATTCTGAATTATGTCAGGCTGAGACCCCCAGAAGAAAAGTCAATGCATGTACCAGTACTGAGAAAATCCAAATCACAGACTAGGCCTCAACCAGTAAAATTTTCAGATGATGTCATTGATAATGGAAATTATGACAATCTTGATATTCAACAACCTCCTATGAGTGAAAGGACTTGCAGACGTGTTTATCAGTTTGAAGACCATGGAAAGAGACATAATCGAAGCAGCAGAAAGTCTCAATCTGACAATGCACTTCATCTGGTTGCAGAAAGAAAACCTTTTCCAAAAGAAAGGCTTAAGTTTTATTCACCTCAGGGTTATGATGCATTTATTCAGAATAAAAATACTCAGGCAGTTCAGGCATATACTCCCACTTTTTTCAGCCAAAATAATCATATTGCGCCTGACTATGCAATGGGGAAACCAAGAGATCATTTTTTTGGATTTTGGGGTGAGGATGAAGAAGCTTGGTGCTCATCTTCATCATCTTCAGATTCTGAAGAGGAAGGATATTTCTTAGGACAACCCATTCCACAGCCAAGATCTGTGAGATATCCCTGCCATGTAGACTTTGTTTCTAGTTCAAGTGCTGAACTTCCTACTATCCAATTTAGGCAGATAACAAAATCTGAAAAAAAAAAAAAGGAAAACTCACAAAGGCAAAACCTGTATAATTTCCTAAAATGTACTGCCTATAAACTTCGTGCCTACACTGTGTTTCAAATCTTGTGTATCTAAATAACGTCAGCAAAGTCTGTAACATGGGAAAAAATTGTCTATGTTCTTTGTCAAGGCTTTGAAAGCAGTTTAAGGCACCACATCAAAAAATAAAAAAAAATAAGCCTTTGATACGGATTAGCTTGTTTAGAACTATTCTAGCTTGCATACAACTTGAGATTCAAGAAAAATAAACAAACATTAGAAATTGTCCCTCTGATTATATGAATGCCAGGCTTGGGACAGTCTTCCTTGTTTATGGATATAGTATGAAATCAGAGAGGAGTCTGGATTTTATTGGATTCTTGTTCTCAACAGCTCTGCAAACATGGTCATAGGGATGATGGAAACCTTCCACACAGTGCTTCACATAGAGATGGGTAGTATGAAGAATTAGCATTTTATATAGATACTGGCCTAATTTCAGAAGTTTCTGTTTCGAAGGGAGAAATGCAATATTTTATAAAAGGAACACATTTTCCAAAGGATCAATTCAAACTTCTGACAAAAACAAGCTGTCCAATCTCATGTCTCTTCAAAAAGAAGAAAAAATGGTGGTCCTATTCATGGCACGAAGCTTCAGAGAGACTATTACTCCCTGTGGAAATATGACCACAGAGGGTAACTATTGCCCATTTAACACGTGCAAATAATTTGATTTTTGCATTTTCTTATATGTTTAATATAACCTAGCCATTTTGATGCCAAGCAACAATTATCTGGTTCTATGCTGGACAATGAACTGCTTCTTACCAAATTGACTATTATTTTATCTTCATGGGAGTGAATCTCAGGCAAATTTTGCTTAATATAATCTTAATATACAGTTTGTAAAAACTAAAGTGATGTGAGCTAATAATCCCTGCTTTCAAAATAAGATGTCACTGAATTTGCTTAAATTAAAAACTTAGGAACATATGTAAGGATCTTCTATATTGGAACACTATCTAAAGTTTCAAATGTAATATGAACAGCAATTAAGAGTTAACAGATTTATAAAGTAGTATTTTACAGTTTCCTGTATTTATAACTTAGTACAATTAATATATATATATTATAAAATTAAGATTTATCCAACTATTTTTATATTTCTGAATTGTAAGGCATTTGTTTAAAATAGACAAATAATTTTGTTAGACTGTTTAATATCAGTTTGCTTGAGCAGGAGTTTGTTAAATATTCATACATTTATAGTGAAATGTTTAATTTTTGATAGTAAAGCTCTGTTTGCATGGTGGAGCTATATAAATAATATTTCAGTCATGGTTCAACATTAAAGAATTATCAATAAACTTTAAATTGTGTAAATTAAACAAATAAAATTGGCATGTATAAATTGAACTAAATTATACTTTAAGCTAAATTTCAATGCTAGGTTCTAAACCTAAAATAGATAACATTGCTTGGCTAATTGTGATTTGTACAAGAGGCATTGTTATATCCTGCTTGGGTTAAGTAGCAGTACATAAAGACTGATGAGCCATTCGGAAGAGTGAGTTAATCTCACCCTACCTTGATAGATTATTAAATTGCCCTATATATTCTTCTAACAACCAAAAAGTAAATGTTTTCACAATCAGCCAAATGTTATTTTTAAGATCAACTGAATAAAATTGTACTATGCTTTCTACTAAGAATGGTCCACTGAATTCAAATCTACATTTCTGCTTAGTGTGATATGGATTTGTTTATTGAACCTATCTTAAGTAGTCTCAGGTTCTATCAGCATGCAAGGGATATAATTTTCTACTGGCTTTTGCTGAATTTTATTTGTTATTTAGTCAGTCAGATCAATTATTTAACTCAGTTTTTAATAACTGGCTTTCTGTCATTGTAATTTGTTTTCATAATTTATAAATTTGGTTTGTTTCCATATTTTACAATATCTGTGCGTAGGTTAGAACACTGAAATGTAATACAATATGTTCTAGCTGCTTTAAAACTTTCACAGTCCCTTTCACTGGCCATAGCAGCTGAGGCAAACTGAGGGACAGATTGAAGTGTTCAGAAGCATATCTATATGTTTATTCATTTTATGGGTTTAAACAACAAACATACACCACCACATTTCGCTTCATTCCTATGAATACAAGAAGTATTGCTTACAAATCACCCATCAGTTTAAACAGAGGAAACTTACTTTTTGTTACTTTAGAATTAAATAATCTTACACCTAACCATGGGTAAACACTTGAATTTACAGCACCAAAATTGTTCTGTATATTACATGTGGAAAGTACACTAGACAAGTGATAACTGTAATAGATAATCCAGCTGCCCATGAGGCAGTTAACGGTGGCTCAGTGGCTAAGACGCTGGGCTCGTCGATCAGAAAGTTGGCAGATAATTGGCGGATCGAATCCCTAGCACCGTGTAATGGAGTGAGCTCTTGTAACTTGTCCCAGTTTCTGCCAACCTAGCAGTTCGACAGCGTGTAAGAATGCAAGTAGAAAAATAGGGACCACTTTGGTGGGAAGGTAAATATTCCATGCGCTTTCGGCATTTAGTCATGCCGGTCACATGACCATGGAGGCATCTTCGGCTTTGTAACTGAGATGAGCACTGCCCCCTAGAGTTGGAAACGAATAGCATGTATGTGCAAGGGGAACCTTTACCTATATGTGAATGTAACCAACCTTGTTGCAATTCCGAGAAGAATCTTTTCAAGTAGACTAGTCTCTAATTGTAACAGAGGAATATAATGAAGTGATGTTGGATAAAGATTAGCTGCTGAATTGCGATTATGAATTTACTTACCCTTTTATTCCACGATTATGGGAAGTATCATCATGTCTGTGCCATTTGTGAAATGATGAATTACACAATCCTCATACTTTGAAAACACTTGTGCTGCCTTCACTACACCCATTTCTAAAAGGAATATCCCATAGTGTAGTGGAAATTACAGAAATTGCAGAAGAGAATAAGAGTATATACTTTCCATTACTATTAAAGACAAATATTGTTTATACAAGTGTACAAAGCTTTCAAGGAAATGCAAATTTTGATATTAACTCTGGAGTTTAATTATACAAGCTATTTGAAGTTACAAAACCACTAAGCTTAAACAACTAGCTTAATGGAATTGTCCTAACAATGGTTTCCAAACCAATTAATATAGCTACTGCAATTAAAAGGAATACACATGTAAAATTTATATAAATACAGGTACACATTTTATATATTCAGCGATATCAATAAAATTACAAAATGGTCTGTTATACTTGGCAACCTGTTTCAATAATTGGAGCAGCTTTTTGTTAATGATTTTCAAAATATGGCTGACATGAGCTGAATTTTATATAGTCAATATATTTTCTAAACGGAATCAACTAAGCAAATGATTTTTTTTTTTGCAATTAATTCAAATTTATGAAGAGATCAAATGCAAGATGAACAAATTTAGAAGATTAGCATCCATGAATCAGGTCACCTTTATATATGAATAACTCATAATTTATCTTATGTCTCTTCAAATTCTTGACTCGCAGAATCATATTTTGCAATGAAGTGTTTAAGTTCTTCAACACATCGCTCACCAATCTCATGCAAATTTTGCCTCAAAGAAAACTGAACAAGTTTTTCTAACGTTGGGTCTTTTTCAATCAGCATCTTCACCACGGCACCAAAAGTTTCACAATCCTGTCGGTATACCTAAAATGGGTTTTAGAAGTGCATTCAATGAAACACATTACTCTACAGTATCTACCCCAAACTGAACTAAAGCTAGATTTATAAACCTTATAAAAATAGTATAAGTTTATTTCCATTTTCCGGAATGAAGAAAATGTGTTTATGTGTAGGAGATGGAGTGGTAGAACATAGGGATGCAAATAAAAGACAGAACACCCTGGATTCTCCACAAAACCACAAGCAGACTAAGTCCAACTCTCCCTTGGATTTTGTTGATACTTAACTCCATGGAGGTACCACCAACCTGTCAGTTCCATGTATCTGCATTCTTTGGTGGAAGAAGGGTGGATTTGTTACACTTGGTTCCTTCTCTATGTATCCTATTTCTTGCCTTGTCTTTTTGTATAAGCTTTTACCTGATTTATAACCACCCCATCGGGTGCCTGGAAAATTCTCACCTCTTGGGGAATGTTGAGGGTGGAAGGGCCATGGGGATTACAATACTGGACGATGGTCTTGAGAAACTCTTCTCATCTGTTTCTCAGAGAGGCCGGCACAACATCTTCACATCTGCAGATTGGTGGAATCCACATCGGACTGTTGGGAGGGGTTCTCTAAATTTCCTTTATCCTAATTGTATGCCCTGAGGCAGGGGTCCCCAACCACCGGGCCCCGGACCGCTACCGGTCCGTGGATCATTTTGTACCGGGCCGCAAAAGAATGAATAACCGTGATTAAAATATATATAAAAATATGTTTTTGCTCCCGGGTGTCTTATTTTGAAAGACAACCACTTCCGCCCTCGCCTAACTTCCGCGCTTGACTCTTTGGCGCGTTTATATTAAATCTATTACTTTTTTAAAAAAATTCATATTAGTGGTCTTCAGGATTTAAAAGAATGAGTTTAATGGTCCCTGAGGTTCAAAAGGCTGGCGGCTCCTGCTCTCAAGTGTAATCTTGTAACAAAGTGGTATCAAAGCACTTGTTTAAAAATTAAGATTTCATTTTTCTTTCCCCTTCCTATTTTTCCCTAAAGTGCTTTCCCCCATTTCTTCAAAATTTCTGGAAATGTTATTTTCTTTTCTAAGCTGCTTTTCTCAATATACTGCTCTTTAGGCATACTGGCCCTGCTGCAAGAGTTGCAGTCTCAACATATCTAAAAAGCAGCATATTGGGAAAGATTCAAAATAATCATTTTTACTAGACCCTAAAATAGATGTGGGTCCAAGCAGCTGTTCCTACAGCTTCATAAAAGGGATCAAATATACTTACTCTAGATTTGTATTGCTCTATTGCGTATTTCACCGGAAATTTTCGCTACTTTCACAGTAACAAATATTGAAATTAAAAATAGTATAAAATGATTTAAGGATGGAAGATGAGTTAAACATTTAAATAGAGATGCGAAGAAATGTGTTTTGCTCTCAGCATTTACTCCATTGCACCACAAAAGTTAATAGATGTTCACAAGCAGTAATACTGGAGATAGTCATGACTCTATCCATTCATTATTGAATAGCGTTCCAAAATAAAGTCATGACAAAGCAAATTACAGTGAAAATGCAACCTTATACTTCCTAAAATAAACACTTATTAGGACAGTGAAACAAGCTAACCTCGCGAAGCATTCCTATATATTCTCAATCCAATGAATGTGTGATTTTGATTTGACAACAAAAAACAAAAAATAGCAAAAGCAATTAAACCCTTTTTGTAGTAAAAGTAAGTGCCAGATTTATTTTAGAAATTTAAATCAGTGTAATAAATTAGCTATTTATTTTATCTTAAACTATGTTGTGTAAATCAGTTAAAACTTTGAGTCAAATTGTTTGGCAAAGTTAATTTGGAGGAAAAAAAATCCCTCACAAATATTCATAAAAGTAAACTAAATGTGGCTTACTTGTTCAATTTCCTTTGTCTTTTGAGCAATTGCCTTTGAGCGACTAATATGATGGCTGTCTTCAAATAATTCATTGCTGTCTGTTACACTGGCACCTGTTTCTTCATGGTGTTTTATATATAACGGATCCGAGGATGTGGCCTTTAAAAATGAAGAATAATTTTATGTGGCTAAAATGGATTATATGAAATATTGTTACATTAAATAATTGCCATTAGTTACCTGATTCTTGTATTTCAAGCAATCCTCGCCGTTTACATTAGAACATCAAATGTATTCTACGTATGAAATATGTATGTATGCTTACATTAAACTAGATATCAAAATATATTACAAATCATTGGGTAAACGGTACATAACTCCGATCTGACGTGTTGTGAGAGCAACCAGATGTATTGCACTGGAAAGTTTGGCCTAGTGATTAAACACCAGTCTCGGAACTGGAAGACCAAGAGTTCTAGTCCCACCTTAGCCACTAAAGTTATATGCGGCTCTTTGGGCCCTCTGCTGCGGCTCTCTGTCACCCTATTGCAGCAGTGGCATGACCAGAGCCTTAGTGCAAGAGCGAAGTGCCCCTGCACTTGCCTTTGTGCAGCAACAGCATTTCCGCTTTTGTCGCAGTACATTTGCTGTTGCCGCCAGCAACGGGGCTAGGAGAGAATGCCGGAGGCGGATCTTGCAGGGTGGGGGCCATTCCCCAAGCCTGGCCTTCCTCCTCCCTTGTTGGCAGGACCAAGAGAAAGAAAGGGGTAGCGTGAGGAAGCGCTCCCCTGCCCCACCGGGCATCACAGACCAGCGGGAGGGGGAGATGGTCCGGCAGAAGCACTCCCGCTGGCAAGTCGGACGGCGGAGAGGCGTGGCCCAGCTCTCGTAGTGGGACGCTGTTCAGCACATCCAGATGCTAGCTGCCATCTTTAAAATGTGCTTTCTATGGCCTGCGCCTTCCCCGATCTCAGCTCTTTTGCCCCAGCGAGAGCTATGTTTCTGCTCGCTTTCTTTTCCTGTGCCTTCCCTGGGCAGTGATGCCTGGGGCCATCAGAATTGTCAAGGCTGCTCCCCCCACTCACACACACAGCAAGCCGGGCCTGGAGGAGCGCGGAGAGTTGCGGGCGAGGGTCAGAAGACACGCTCCGACATTGCCCCAAGCACGCATCTCTTCCACTGATTCATTCTACCCCAGTCCTTCTGCACTCATGTCACATCAACCCCACATAATTTTGCGCACTCACCATGACTTGCACCGCACCACCATGCATCCCTCCCTCCCAACTCTCGCCACTTACGCATCTCCTCAGGCTGCCCGCGTCACCTCTTTTGCACTCTCCCTAGCCTTCATTGTGCCTTTCCTACAATTGCACTCACCCTTTGGTTCCCTTCCATATTCAGCAGCAGACACCTGCTTAATGGCCTGGCATTTGCAACGTCTTTTTTAGCTTCCTCACCAATTTTGGTTGTGGGAAACTGGCAAGAAGTTGCCTGACCTAACAACTGTGAGATTAACAATGGCATTTGGGACGGCCATTACTAAGTAATCACATTTTATGACATCACTTAGCCAATAGAAATTGTGGTCCCAATTGCCATTGTCAGTTAAGTACTACCTGTACTACTTACACAAACCTGCA